CAGTCGCCCAGATTGGAGTGCAGTGGCCACTCCCGGCCACCACAGCCTTGACCTACTGGGCTCTGGTGATCCTTCCGCCTCAGCCTTCCGAGTAGCCGGAATTACAGGCATGCGCTACCACACCCAGCTGGTTTTTTTTTATTATTTATTGTAGAGATGAGGTCTCGCCAAGTTGCCCAGGCGGGTCTCGAACCCATGGGGTCAGGCAATCCACCCACCTCAGCCTCCCAAAGGCACGGGATTACAGGCTGAGCCACCGAGCCCGGCTGAGTCTCAGTGTTCTTATTGGTAAAAAAGGGAATAGTAATACCTACCTTACAGGAATGTTTTTGCTTAGTACAGTGCCTGGCACACAGCACATAATAAATAGTTGTCATAAAGAGCTTGAGCCAGCAAAAGTATGAATTAATTAGAAATTGGCAAGTGAAGCCAGGCTCGGTGACTCAACCTGTAATCCTGCACCTTCGGGAGGCTGAGGTGAGTGGATTGCCTGAGCCTACAGGTTCGAGACCCGCCTGGGCAACTTGGCGAGACCTCATCTCTACAATAAAATCAAAAAAATTAGCCGGATGTGGTAGCGCGCACCTGTAGTTCCAGCTACTTGGAAGGCTGAGGCGGAAGGATCGCTGGAGCCCAGCAGGTCGAGACTGGGGTTGCTGGGAGCGGCGACAGAGTGAGACTCCAACTCAAAAAAAACCCAAAAAAACAGAAATTGGCAAGTGGAAATCCTCTATCCACATCTTGAGCAGGTAACTGGAGGGTGTAAAACTGGGGTGAGGGGAAGTGAACAGGGAGTAGGATGACAAATTTGAAGTTCAGTCTTCCCTCTAACCTTGCATTGTAGGCCACCAGTTTGGCCAAGCCTCTTGCCTCTGATGTTTCCCACCACCAGAATGAGACAACATGGGTAAGCAGATTATATCAGGATATTTCCCTATTATCCATAGAGGACTCTGGTTTTTATAAAGTAAAATCTTCTCTGTTTAGCCTACAAATAAATGAGACCCAGGCCTCTTTGGATTGATATCAAGTCTTGTTCACTAGTGATTAAGTAGCTACTCAGGTAGGAATACTCCAGGCTGAGAGCTCAGTTTCTTCATGGTGATCGAGTCCCATCTAGGAGGGGCAGGTAGGATTGGAGCAGCTAGAAAGAGGCTTAATCTTGGCCTGGAACAAGGGAAATTTGTGAGTTTCCCGAAGGGTCTGTTTTTCTAAAAGAAAGTAGAGGAGAGCTCTTCTTTATTTGGAGACAAGAATAGTCCCATGACATAATGTTGGGACTCAGCTGAGGTGGGGAGGAGAAGGGTTGGTATAAAGATATTAAGGGGTTTCTGAGGCCCATTGGGGGACTCTTCTTACCTGGAAGCTGGATAGTAGAACAGAGTTTCTTTGATGGAACTGCAAAGAGGACAGGGAGTGCCCAATGGAGATTTATATAAGATTGTCTCTCACAATCTTCTTTGTGCTTTTATACTTTCCTAGTCACCTCTTCCTGTACCCCAATACTTTTGCTTCTGTACCCACCTACATTTAATTTTCTTTACACGTGTTCTCCATTCTACCTGGAATACCCTTTCTTCTCCATTTCTGTGCTTTCAAGCAATTCATCTTTCAAGAGCTAAATTGTCATATCTCCTGCAAGGCCACCCCTAGGTTCCTGTTTTATAGTTATTCAAAATCGTTTATTCATGCATTCATTCTACAATTATTTATGAAACCTCTAGTATGTGTGAGACATGGCTAGGCACTAGGACATACAAAATCTACTAGTTACTCACTGCCTACTAAAAACTCAGTGGCTCCTCATAAAGTTAAAATGCTTAGCATGGCTAACAGTATCCTCAATTATCTGGCTCCTTCCTAGTTTTCAAAGTCTACCTCCCAGCACCTCTCTATTTTACCCTTTATCTGTACCCAAGTACTTGGAATTCACTTAATATGGCTCTTAGGTTCTGTTCCTTTGTCTGTGCTATTCTCTTTGTTTATCTGGTGAATTCCAATCATCCTGTAATACTCAATTCTGAAAGCATTTCTTGTGTGAAGTTTTCTCTAAAGAGTCTCCCCATTCTTATTTCAAATCCAGTATCCAATAGTACCAGGTACTTCCTCCTTTGAGGTTCCATAACATTTCATATTTAATGTAATCATATGCTATGTTGCCATTTTTTTGAATCGGGGTCTCACTCTGTCACCCAGGCTGAAGTACAGTGGCATGGTCATGGCTCGCTGCAGCTTCAAACTCCTGGGCTCAAGTGACCCTCCTGTTTCTATCTCCTGAGTAGCTGGGACTACAGGTGTGCACCACCCTGCCTAGCTAATATTTCTGTAGAGTTGGGGTCTTGCTTTGTTGCATAAGCTGGTCTTGGACTCCTGGCCTCAAGCAATCCCCCTGCCTCAGCTTCCCAAAGTACTGGGATTACAGGTGTGAGCTACCATGCCCAGCTATATATTGCAGTATTTTATTACATACTTATATTCTTCATCAGTCAGCTACTTCATAGCAGAGGTCTTATCCATTTCATCTTTGTAACTCCAGTCACCAACATAAAGCCTGGCATGTAGTTGGTGCTTAATCAATGTTGGCTAAATGTGCAACTAAGGATATACTTATTTGATTTAACAAACCATGGTCTTAATATTGAATGACAGGAGAGCAAAGCTGAATGGACAGTGCCCCTACTCCATACTTTTAACTAGTGTAATTGTTGGTTTTAGAGGATAAATCTCTACGCCTATGTAGGAAAAGAAATAGCTAGGAAGTGGCTAGGAAAAGAAGAGACCCTTCTAACCTTCTACGCTATATTCCCCTTACTTGTTTCTTCAGTTGTGTACTTTTTTTTGTTCCAAAAGGAATTTTGATATCCTAATAGATATAAGTTGAAGAAGGCCATCTCAACTCCTCCCTGGCCTCTTCTGGAATGTCCAGGCTGGAGTATAGGACTCTGTTTGGTAACCATGGTAATGTCCTAAAGAATCACCACAGTTGACATTCGCTTTGTCTAATGAGACATATAACTTATGGATTCATGGTGCAGCTGGAGTGGGATTGGGCTAAATAATTATAGAAAAATTGAGTCAACTGTCAGGATACCTTTTATTTTTTTGAGTAGGAGTTTCACTCTATCACCCAGTCTGGAGTGCAGTGGCATGCTCATGGCCACAGCAGCCTTGACCTACTGGGCTGAGGCAATCCTTTCACCTCAGCCTTCCAAGTAACTGGAACCACAGGTGTGTGCCACCACACCCAGCTAATTTTTCTGATATTTACTGTAGAGACGAGGTCCCACCAACTTGCCCAGGTTGGTCTTGAACCCCTGAACCCAGGCAAACCTCTCGCCTCTGTCTCCCAAAGTGTTGGGATTACAGGTATGCGCCACTGCACCCAACTACTTTATATTTTCTTTCAGTGTACTTGGTTATTTCTGTTGTAGAGATGAGGTCTCTCCAAGTTGCCTAGGCTGGTCTTGAACTCTTGGGCTCAAGCAATCCTCTTGCCTCTGCTTCCCAAAGTGCTGGGATTACAGGTGTGAGCCACTGCACCTGGCATCAGTATACCTTTTCTTGACTCAGTCTTAGTCTATGAACTTTAGAAGGCAGTGAATAGAAAGAACACTGATTTGGGCTCAAATCTTAGTTTTGCCATATTGTAGGTATCTAACTGTGAATAGGCTAATCCTCAGTTTTTAACTTAAAAGAATAGCAATGATGATATCTTTATCTCATAGTTATGAGAATTTGAGATAATATACACAAATTTCCTTAGCACAGTGTTCAGCACATAATGGAAACTTAACAGACTATTTAAATCTGAATAGTTTTTCAGCTTTATATTCAGAGAAAAAAGTCTGAAAAGGATACTTTCATTGGAAGTGGAAGTAAAACTCACTTTCAATGAGTTATTTCAGCATCAATGTGCCAGTCCACAGTGACTTTTGAAAACTTGTTACATTTTTATTAATTTCATTAATTTTGTGAATTGGTTGCTAAACATTATCTAAACTTGCAACTGAACAAGTTATATTAAAGTTATATTAAAAATAAAGTCTACTGATGAACCCACCAAAGACATTCTTTATTTTTGTTAGTGTTCTTTTTTTTTTTTTTTTGAGTTGGAGTTTGTCTCTGTTGCCCAGACTGGAGTGCAGTGGCTGCTCCCGGCCACTGCAGCCTCGACCTGCTGGGCTCCGCCAATCCTTCTGCCTCAGCCTTCCAAGTAGCTGGAACTACAGGCACGCGCTACCACGCCTGGCTAGTTTTGATTTTATTGTAGAGATGAGGTCTCATCAAGTTGCCCAGATGGGTCTCGAACACGCAGACTCAGGCAATCCACTCACCTCAGCCTCCCAAAGCATGGATTACAGGCTGAGCCACCGAGCCCCGCTTGTTAGTGTTCTTGATTTTTTTTTAACTTTTAATTTTTAAGATGTAGGGTACAATTCAAGGTTAGGTATACAAATGTTCATTATGCAGGTACCCTTGTTGATGAGGTATGCTTCCTCTCACCTGGCAGTTTCCCACTACTGCCAATCCTGCTACCCTGTCCCCTGGCAGTTTCCAACTATTGCCAATCCCTTTTTTTTTTTTTGAGTTGGAGTCTCACTCTGTCGCCCGGACTGGAGTGCAGTGGCTGCTCTCGGCCACCACAGCCTCGACCTGCTGGGCTCCAGCGATCCTTCCGCCTCAGCCTTCTGAGTAGCCGGAATTACAGGCATGCACTACCATGTCCGGGTGATTTTTGGATTTATTGTAGAGATGAGGTCTCGCTGCCCAGGCGGGTCTCAAACCCGCGGGGTCATGAAGACCTTTCACCTCATTCTCCGAAAAGGCCGGGATTAAACGGGAAGGCATTGCACATGCAAGTAGATCCATCTTTTTCCACCCCACAGGGGATGAAAAAAGATGGAGGACACAGGGAAGGAACCCACAGACCTGATACTCATACCTGAGGGATGGGTATGCGCTTGGCTGACTCTGGGCTCACTGAGGAGCCTGAACACCCGGCTTGGTGAGCATTGGACACCAGGAAAACTGGACAAGCTTTTGCCTGTTGATGTCACGTGGTTGTGGCAACACTGAGGGGATGGGAAGGGATCTGGCCAGGAAGGAAGAGGCAACAATGGAGAGATGAGATTTGCAAAGTCCTGGCTCCGTACTGCAGAAGACAGGGT